CAGGAAAAAAATATTTGCAATTCACATTACAGACAAAAGATTAATACCATTAATAAAGAACTCTTACAAATCTCTGGGAAAAGACTAACAATCTAAGGAAAATGGGGGAAAATTGGAAAAAGTTCACAGAAAAATAAGGCTCTCATAAACATCTTTCATAATGAGAGAAATGTAACATTTTACCTATCATATTGGGGATAGTTTACAGTTTAATAACACGCTATACTGGTGAAGCAAATACTCTTATACCTTGTTGGTGAGGATGTAAATAGGCATAACTTCCTGAAGGGCAATTTAGCAGTATCTATCAGAATTGAAATGCTCATAACCTTTAGCCTAAAAATTCTACTTCTAGGAATATCCTATGGTAAAGGATTTATCCATTATAGCACTGTTACTAACTATAAATGACTGGAAGTAATCTAAAAGTCCATTACCAGGGAACTGGCTACATAAATTATGGTACATACAATGGAATATTATAAAATGATACATGTAAAAAAGAAAAAAAATGCTTTATATAATGATTTGGCATGAATCACAAGATATATCAAGAGAAAAAACCAAGATGCAGAATAGTAATTATAGCATGCTTTTATTTGTGTGAAAAAAATCAGGAAGTGTAGCAAAGAAAATTATTCATAAAGTCTTTTATAAACATAAAAATTCTCTGGAAAGAAACTGGTAAACAGTAGTTACCTACAGGACTGGAAGGAAACAAGATATTTCACTGACTATAGTTATATGCTTTTTTAAAACCATATAAATGTATTGTTTATTTAAAAAATTAAATATTTTAAAGCAAGTTACAGAATGATATGTATAATATAATCTTAATATTTTAAAAAGCACATAAATGTGTAGAAAAAAAATAAGATCTACCAAAATGTTAAGAAGCAATAATACTTGGTGTTGACTTGAAGGTGATATTTACTTTCTTCAAATTCTTTTCTGCTATTTTCCAACAAATAAAAATATGTAACTAATATATTCAGGGAAAAAAAAACACACAGAAGTCTTTGTGTTGTTACAGTTATTTTTAAAATTAGACCACCTATATTGCCAAGAAGAGGCTTCTTCTTGGCGGTGGAAAAGAGGGGGATCTTTTTATTTCTCGTATTTAGCTGAGGAATCTTATGGACTGAATGTCTCCACATTTCTAAGCAGTAGAAAGGAAAAGATCAAATATGCCTTGCCTTACGGGAAAACTAAAAGATAGCCCAGATGCAGGCTGTCAAGAAAAAGGAGATCTCTCTAAAAATATGATCATGATGTTATAGCTTTCATAAGGCCCTGAGTGATTTAAAAAATAAAGTTCACATTCCATAACACATCCTTATGAAAGCACAGAATAGATATGACCAGCATGAATCACTGTATCCCTTCCCCCTCTCCAAGGGCACAACACCCAGAATAGCTTCCTGATGACGCAGCAGCCAGAAGCCTTTGAAAGCCTTAATCTTTTGGGAGGAAATGAGAGGGAAAAATAAGTCCCTGACACAGCCATTAATTGTTAGGTCTTCACAAAGCAGAAGAGAGTAGCAGTGAAAACTGGTATGGATCTTCTGGTCATGATTCTTTCCATTACAGTCTGCAGTTGAAAAGTGTGTGCATGACAGCTTTGCCTGGTTTACTCTGTTTTCACTTATTAACACTAATGCTTTTTTGCACATGACCATATACTTTAATATTTTTCATTCTGATAACCACATGCTTTCACAGATATCACTCGTTAATAATTCTAACAAGATACGCTAATACTGTTTCGCATTTACCAAGCATCCTTCATTTGGAATCCCATTACTTTACTATTTCATTATGACATTTTCTCTTTCTGGAACATATGGGAAAACTGTCTTGTAATATGGGGAAGTGATTACTCTAGACGACAAAGTAAAATTAGTAACAGAGCCAAGAAAAGAACCTTTTTGCTATCAAGATGCAAGTGCTTAACCACTAAATGGTAGCGACACTAATCTGGTAGTTATTTTGGTCATCAGCCTGGGAAACTTATATTGAGTTTTTATACAACATGTGGCATGATTCCCAAGGTTCTGGCTTGGGAGACTGAGTGGTTGGCAATACCACAAATCAGTGTTAAAAACAGGAGGAAGGGCAATCTCATGAGGAAAATAAGTTTGTTTTGGGTCATGTTCTGCTTGGCCTGTACGACAGACTGCTAGATGTAACGCATAGCAGACAGCTAGTCTTATGGATCTGGAGTTCAGCAGAGGTGTCTGAGCTGGGGGTCTTTAGTACATAGGTGATAGTTAAAACAATGCAAGTGGATGAGGCCGTTTCCAGAAAATGTACAAAGTAAGATAACATAAGGATGTAGGACAGAATCCCATTAAAAGCTAGAATCCAAGAAGAAGAGATTCCAGGGAAAGAAACTAAGAAGGAATGGTCACAGAGGTAGGAAGACTCTATGACATTAGAAGATAATAATGCTGTATAAGTCAAGGTGTGATGATGGTCAACAGTAAAGAACATCAGATAGGGTTCAAAGGAGAAGAAACGTTCATGGATCTAATAACATGGACATCATTTTACCTAAATTTCAGTAGCAAAATCACCAGTGGTATGGCCAAAAACCAGACTGTAGTGGGTTAACTAATTTGTTCTATAAATTCCCGTCTTCATAACTATAACTATTTTTTTTCCCATCAGACTACATGTAACTTGAAACTTAAAAAATGAAAGAAACATTTATTATTTCCTGTGTGCCACAAACTATACTATGCAAATTTTTACACTAGTTTATTTAATCTTTCCATCAAACATTATGATGTAAATAATATTATCCTCATTTTTTTTTAAGATTTTTATTTACTTATTTGACATACAGAGATCACAAGTAGGCAGAGAGGCAGGCAGAGAGAGAGATGGGGAAGCAGGCTTTCTGGTGAGCAGAGAGCCTGATGTGAGGCTTGATCCCAGGACCCAGGGATCATGACGTGAACTGAAGGCAGAGGCTTTAACCCACTGAACCACCCAGGTGCCCCTATCCTCATTTTTATAGATGAGAAAAACAAGGCTCAAAAAATTAATATTACCTAATAGTTAAGATCAACTGTCAATTTCTTATGTTTTTTTAAAGCTTTTCATGTATATCATCTCATTCAATTCTCACAATAATCCTATGAGGTAGGTACCAGTGTTACCTCATTTTACAAATGAGTAAACAGAGGCATAAAGCAGTAACTTATCCATACCACATAGTGCTGAGGCTGGGATTAAAATATGAACAGTCCAACTCAGAAATCTGTAACGGTAACTACTATTTCACTTTTTTCCCCAAGGACCTGAGCATTGTGTCTATATTTCAATCTGGGTTCTATCTGATTCCAAAGACTTTTATCATTCTACCACACAATGCTGCTTCCAAATTCCTAGAACGGTGTTTGAATAACAGTAACCATTAAGAAACTCTTGGAGGGGCACCCAGGTGGCTCAGTGGGTTGAGCCTCTACCTTTAGCTCAGGTCATGATCTCAGGGCACTGGGATCAAGCCCCGCATCAGGCTCTCTGCTTGGAGAGGAGCCTGCTTCCCCCTCTCTCTCTGCCTGCCTCTCTGCCTACCTGTGATCTGTCTCTCTCTGTCAAATAAATAAGTAAAATCTTTAAAAGAAGAAAAAGAAACCCTTTGAGAGAGCCTCACTTTCAGAACCTATTCTGAATAAAGAAAATCTAACTTAAGCCAACTTCTCCACTGAGTTCTGAAAATATCCAGTAAGAACATTAGTTTAAAGATACTGTTCAGAATATACACATATTTTTAGAAGGGAGGGTAGCATATTAAATCCTATCAATTATGAATTCCTTAACACTAATTATTTGATTAGCTCTTTTTCAGTGTGACTGCTAGTCTAGTTGAGAATAAATTCTGATTAAAAAAGAAAAAGACAGGACGCCTGGGTGGCTCAGTGGGTTGAGCCTCTACCTTTAGCTCAGGTCATGATCTCAGGGTCCTGGGATCGAGCCCCGCATTGGGCTCTCTGCTCAGCGGGGAGCCTGCTTCCCCCTCTCTTTCTGCCTGCCTCTCTGCCTACTTGTGATCTCTCTCTCTGTCAAATAAATAAATAAAATCTTTTTTTAAAAAGAGAGATAAAGAAAAAGGAAAAGAAGAAGAAAAAGAAAAAGACAAGCTTGGCTGAAGGGAGAGAGTTCCAGGGAAGAGTACTTAGACCCTGACATGGGATGAGCATGAGTGTTTGGAAATACATGATTATGCACATATTTGTGAGGTCTGATTTTTTTTAATTTATTTTTTATTATTATTTTTTTTTTTTTTATTAAAGATTTTATTTATTTATTTGAGAGAGAGCACATGAGCAAGGAGAAGGTCAGAGAGAGAAGCAGACTCCCCGTGGAGCTGGGAGTCCGATGCGGGACTCGATCCCGGGACTCCAGGATCATGACCTGAGCCGAAGGCAGTTGTCTAACCAACTGAGCCACCCAGGCGTCCCCTGATTTTTTTTTAAAGTAGGATACCAGAGCCAATGACTCACTTGACAATTATACCCAGATCTGAACCTTATCTAAAACACTGCAAATGGAGTAACTGCCAAAGACGAAGCAAAAACCATTAAGTATTATTACATTCCACTCATTATCAATACTCCAAGTTTTTAGAGTGTTTGAGGATATTACAGAAAAGAAACTCAACATTAATAAAGTTTATATTTTAAAAAATTAAGCTATAACTTAAACTACCACTCCCAATAATCAACCAGTTACCTACAAAATGATGCTCAAAGGATATTCTAAAAATGACAATATTCTGTAAATACTTCTCCTAGGGTGCTCCTAAGAGAAAAATCCTAGTTATTTGTCATTATTGTCCTTATTGTCCTCCTCATGATCATCATGTTACAGTCCTACCCTCAAGGACTCTCAGACTAGAAGCCTTCATCTTCTCCCTGCCAACACCTTAATGCAATTTTGTCTTTCCAACAAGTGGTGTAGTCAATCTGGCGGAAAAGAAGAAGTTCACATACCTGGTCATGGATGAGCCCATGATAAAGGATGCTTTGCATGTCCCTGCAAAGCCGTTCCAGGCCACCATACTTGGACCAGACATTGGGACTGTTGGCTGACACCAAACCCTCCACAGTAGTCTTCAAATTACCCAGCAATTGCCAGTGCTCCCTCCTGCAAGGGCATCAATTATACCAATGGTTAGTTAACTTTGTTGTACCTGATCCTAATCATGTCAAAGAAAGTCTAAGCCAAGAAGCCTCCTGCCCTATATCCTAACATTTTATCCCCTATTAATTTTTTACTTGGGCATAAAACCCAATTCTGAAAGAACTTAAGTTGTAAAGAACACTAAGATTAAAAAAAAAAAAAAAAAAACACAAGACAAAACAAAGAAAACTCCCTCAATCTTAATGTGGCATATTATGCATTGTAAGGTGATCTTCATCTATTATCTCATTTAATTCTCACATAAATAACCTATAACCCATGTTTCTAGGAGTGTGACCCATTAAGATCCATTTCTGGAAATGATAGTACATGAGCAACATATAAAGAGATGAGGGCATTGCTCAAAACCAGAAATCTTTTTCCAAGTAAAAAAGTCAAAAATGAATTTTTATTCACTATATTTCCATGCACTGAGTACATATACCTGCACACAAGTATTATGGTTAAGAATATAAATTATCCATGACTTCCCCCCATAGTTTTTTAAGCTAAAATAAAGACAAAAATGTTTTGTTTGCACTAAGTCATTTAGGGACATGCCCCCAAATCAGTCAACTTTTGGCTTATTCTGAACAATCTGAAGTACTGAAGATGAAAAGTCTGAAAATTGTTATACTGCACACTTTACCTTGCCCTTCCATTTCTCATTAGAATACTACTCCTAATACTTTCCAAGGACAGTCACAGGAATAATTTTTTTCAGGTAACTTTCATCATACTATTTTACATCATTTAAATACCTATGGGGTAGAAGCATTCTGAATCTTTTCTATCTGTATTCAAAACTATTTATACAAAAACTATTTATACAAAATTTATACAAATTTATTCAAAACTATTTATACAAAACTATGTATACAAAACTATTTATAACTTATTCGTACACTTTCTGAGTCATTTTTAAAAGTGGATGAGTACAGTAAAGACAAAAAAAGATGAACAAAGCTAGGTCCAGTATAAAAGTGTCATCTAAAAAGAGAAAGTCAGATGAATCTCAATCTGGTCTTCCGCTCTCAAGACCTAAGACCAAGAATTTATTCAAACTGGGAGACAACCTTACACCATTCAACATTCAAGTCACCAAACTCACTTGTGCCATTTCTTTCTTCCCCACTTTTATTGAGATATAATTGACATATTATATTACTTTAAGGTGTATAACATAAGGATTTCATATACATATTGTAAAATGATTACCACAATAAAATTAGTTAACATTCATCACCGAGCATAGTTACAAATTTTTTTTTGTGATGAGAACATTTAGATCTACTTTCTTAGCAACTTTCAAATATACAATACAGTATTGTTAACTATAGTCACCCATGCTGTACATTACATCCCCAGAATTTATTTATCTTATTACTGGAAGTTTGTATCTTTGGACCACCTTCACCCTCATTCCCCACACCCCCACCTCTAGCAACCACCAATCAATCTGTTCTCTGTTTCTATGAGTTTGACTTTTTTAGACTCCACATATAAGTGAGAGCATACAGTATTTGTCTTTCTCGAACTGACTTATTTCATTTAACATAAAGCTCTAAAGGTCCATCCATATTGTCAAAAATGGCAGCCCTTTTTTAGGGCTGAATAATATTCCTGTGTGTGTGTGTGTGTGTGTGTGTGTGTGTGTGTGTGACATTTTCTTTATCCATTCATCTATCAGTGGATACTAAGGTTGTTTCCATGCCTTGCCTATTATAAATAATGTTTCAGTGAATACCGGGGTACAGATATCTCTTCAGCATCCTGTTTTTGTTTCCTTTGGATATAGACCCAGAAATGAAATTGCTGGACCAAATGTATTTCTATTTTTAATTTTTGAGGAATCTCCATACTGTTTTCTACAGTGGCTGCACCACTACATTCCCACCAAAAGTGCACAAGGATTCCCTTTTCTCTACATTCTCACCAACACTTGTCATTCATCTTTTTGATAACGGCCCTTCTAAGAGGTGTGAGGTGATAACTCATAGCAGTTTTGATTTGCATTTCCCTGATGACTGATGATGCTGAGCACCCCTCCATGTACTTGTTGGCCACTGCCCTGTTCTATTTCCATACCAGTCCTTAGAGATATCTCAAGATAACTAAGATGCACACAGGACTTAGATGGCCGTTAAAATGCCACTTATTGTTACATTGTGAGAAACTACCATCACAGAGGCCAACTGACTACCAACTTCTGCTTCAGTGATTCTCCATCTCCTATGCTTCCTTAGGGTTAATCTGATCTATTCAGATAGACACGGTTTTCACATTCCAACAGGTTACAATCACGTCTCGTAGGCCTGAGAGCAGTTTGTTTACTAAAGCAACTTTGCATATCTATGTTCTGATTTATTCTGATTTAATCTTTTTAAAATTTTTTATTTAAACTCAGTTTAGTTAACATATACTATATTTTTAGTTTCAGGAGTAGAATTTAGTGATTCATCAGTTGCATATAACACCCAGTGCTCATTATTACATCAGGTGCGCTCCTTAATGCCCATCACCCATTTATCCCATTCCCCAACCCACCTCCCCTCTAGCAACCCTCAGTTTGTTTCCTAGAGTTCAGCATCTTTTCTGGTGTGCCTCCCTCTCTGTTTTCATCTTACTTTATTTTTCCTTCCCTTCCCTATGATCATCTATTTTGTTTCTTAAATTCCACATATGAGTGAAATCATATGGTATTTGTCTTTCTCTAACTTATTTCATTTAGCATAATACCCTCTAGTTTTATTAATGTCATTGAAAATGGCAAGATTTTATTCTTTTTGATGGCTGAGCAATACTTCTGATTTATTCTTGATCTTACAAGCTTAACTGTCAAAGAACTATCGTGATAAATTCTGAAAGCAGACACCAAATACCCCATCATCCTACTAGGCTGTGATTCCAAAATTATATAAAGAATCCTGAAATCCAAGAAACCTGAGCATTCACATCTACTACCAACTTCTGGACAAAGCTAAGGAACTTTCCTTCCCCACACTACAGTGTCCCTAAGGTACCAAAGCTACAAAAGAATGTGGCTCTTATTCTAAGATATACCAAATCACTTACATTTGGTATATGCTCAAAGAAAAGTAAGCTTTTAAAATTTTTGATTTACATAGTCTATTTAGTATCTTTACCTTTTGAGGTTCCTTTACCCTAATGATACAGTTACCCTTTCAGAGAGTTGAAATGCTAAACTCAACTGAAGCCCATACACAGTGGTGGGACTAATCTATTCATACCTGAATCTTGGATGCAAGTAAACAGATCACCATGAGAAATCAAATATGACTCTGCATTCTTGAATCACATTTTCAGCAAGTAAGGTCAGTCTTTCTTGGGGTAAACCTGCTTGGTAATAATTATTTGAATAGTATCACCTTGGATTCATATGTAATCTTTACCTGGGCAAAGGTAAGGTCTTTGAAGTATATTAGGTTCAAAGTAGTTCTTTGCAGAGCCACTTCTGCAAGTACACAGAGTGCTCTCCCTTAATCACCATAAATTAAAAGTCTTTCTTAACATCTCACCCTGTGCCAAGGAAGAATCAGGCCTAAGTGGCAAGGGACAGCATAATCCATCCCTACCCGAATCACTTTCATCAAAAACCTCAGAATAAAGTCCCACATATTTTGGGGGGGGAGAATTTTGACTTCATTCCTCCTTTAAAAAGGAACAGAAATTGCTTAAGCAACTCAAATAAGATTATTCACGGAAAAAGTTTTCCTAAATGCCAGCTCAGTCTTAAGTTTGTCATGTCATGTCATGTCACAATCAGAAGTAACACTAAAGGGGCCAGCATTACCGTGATACTAAAACCAGATATGCTACAAAAAAAAAAAAAAAAAAGAGAGAGAGCGAGAGCGAGAGAACTATAGCCCAAGGTCTCTGATGAACATGTATATAAAAATCCTCAAAAAATATTAGCAAACCAAAAGCATCGATATGTTACAATAATCATTCACTACAATCAAGCGGGATTTATTTCTGGGATACAAGAGTGGTTCAATATTCACAAATCAATCAGTATGATATACCACATCAACAAGAGAAGGAATTAAAAACTACATGATCACTTCAATAGATGCAGAAAAAGCATTTAATAAAGTACAACACCCATTTATTATAAAAACGCTCAGCAAAATAGGTTTAGAGGGAACATACCTCAACATAATAGAGGCCTTATATGAAAAACACAACGAACATCATACTCAGTGCAGAGCTTTTCCCCTAAGATCAGGAACAAGAGGAACAAAACAAGAATGTCCACTTTCACCCCTTCTATTCATAGTAGGGCAAGTCCTAGCCACAGCAATCAGACAACAAAAAGAAATAAAAGGCATCCAAATTGGTTTAAAAAAAAAAAGGAGTAAAAATTTCCTTATTTGTAGATGACATGATACTATTTACAGAAAACCCTAAACATTCCACCAAAACACTGTTAGTAGTGATAAATGAATTCAGTAAGATCACAGGATACAAAATCAATATACAGAAATTTGCTGCATTTCTATACACTAATAATGAAGTAGCAGGAAGAGAAATTAAAAAAAAATCCTATTTACAATTACACCAAAACAATAAAATATCTAGGAATAAACTTAACCAAGTAGGTGAAAGACGTGTATTCTGAAAACTATGAAACACTGATGAAAGAAACTGAAGACAACACAAACAAATAGAAAGATATTCCATGCTCATGGATTGGAAAAACAAATACTGTTAAAATGTCCATACTATCCAGAACGATCTACAGATTTAATGCAATCCCTAGCAAAGTATAAATAGCATTCTTCTCAGAACTAAAACAAACAATCCTAAAAATTGCATGGAAACACAAAAGACACCAAACAGCCAAAGCAATCTTGAAAAAGAAGAGCAAAACTGGAAGTATCACAAGCCCAGATTCCAAGATACACTACAAAGCTATTGTAATCAAAACAATATGATACAGG